AACAACGCTACCGCACGACATACACGCAAGCACGCACGGCACTTCCATGCACACACAAAACCATATACGCCAACCGTACGCGCAACGCCGCACCAAATGCCGCAAACTCACTACAGAGTACGAAAACGCACGCCAACTCGCACCCATCAGGGAACTCAATTTTTTCGCTGTACTTAATCTACAATACAAGGACGTCCTGGTTCCATGTCTATGTCTATTCTTCTTCGCTCCGCAGTGTAAGCAGCTACACATACAACTAATCGACGATATATCTCATTTAAACCCTATTTACCTAATATGGTGTTCACACGGATGGGTCTCAGTGGTTGACGCGGGACCGGGCGGAACGTCGGGGGCGCGACGCAGTCTTGTGATACTTTTATATACGTATATAAGACTATAGAAGAGGGTGATGTAAAATGTGGACACAGATCTGGGAGTATATAATGTTATGCACTAAGTTATTCACTTTATTAGCTCTTGAACAGCCTATAAAGTGATGTCTCGTTGTTGTATTTCAATATTTTCGGTGTGTAACTTAACGTGCATTTGCGACCTGAACTTATATATACTTATTATATATATGTTATATATATATTAATATATATATATATATATTATAAGAAGTTATTAGTGATTACTGAGCGGGGACTGTTTGGCATTTTTGCTAACTCATTGTTTGTTAGGTTTAAAAATATTTAATCCATTGCGGAAATGAAACTCTGCTTACTTATTATCCGTTTGTCTCGCATATAGGTGTCAAGTATTAATACGAGAACACGACGTTCGGCGCGTATCTGCGACACTTCCGTCAAGGTGATGCGCGACTGCCGCTGAGATGATATATATTCGCGGTTGGATTGAGCGGTACATGGTGGGGAACCGCATGCGAGAACAGCACGCAGCCTCTGATGGAAGGGATACGTGCTTCGCCCACGAGCGCATGTACACACGGAGGGTAAAGAAGCTATATACATTCGTCCGCGCCAACAAACTTAACAGAGAAACGGCCGTGGTAGATATCCCCAATTTCTGGATGATCAACGATCTACGCCGCACATGATACACGAGTACGAATAGCAAACGCGGCCGACCACAGACAGGAGCATTACATCCAACGCTCTAGCAGCATTTCGAAGCGTGAACTGCAGCGCAGGCCGGCCGGGCACGGACCAGAAACATCATGCCGTCAGACCGCCATTCACAGCAAGAGCGCTGTCCAGCAGTATGTACCGATCACAACGGGACATTATATAACCTCACGCGCAACGTTCGCCCAACCTACGAGTGTGCAGGTAGCGCACGAAACGTCGTTTCTTCTATTATCTTTTTAACCACCATTGGCGAGGAAAAGGATATAGTAGCGATATTGTTTGTTATTTTTGCAATAATGTGGAAGCGAATCGTTTCGTGACAATTTACCGCATTTTTATTATAAAAAAAAATTGATCAGGTTATTGAGTTTGATATATCTCGCGTTTTTTATTATTTATCACAGCATATATACTATTACAGTGATACAGTTCTAGTTGCTTACCAAATAAATCTGCAATATGCCGATTGCGCCGCAGCTGGCCAAATTTATGCTTAGATTGTATTCACTATCCAACTCGGTATTGCGATGCGTTATTAATTAAAGCAGACGCAGAAAGTTTTAATTTTTAGAACGTAGATTATATATAACTATATTACGTCAAGGGAACCTCGTGACAGGCAGATATCCCCCGAACGCATTATCAATTACAAATAGTTCCAGTGCTTAGACTATAGGTGTGTGGGGTTTTCGAGCAATTCTCTTTTACTACGCGTGAATAAGTAAACCACGCATAAAAGAACTTAGATTTTTCGGTTTAAGCTTAAGTGGTTGCTTACTATATGATCGCCTTCATGTGAGAATCAGCCTGTAAGAGGTTTAAGATACTTTAGATTGTTGGCCTGGGGGGGGGGGGGCGGAGGGGGTCTTGACTACTGTGGTACAGATTATACGTTGTGATAGCAAGTCATGGTTGTATACTTTCAGAAACGCGTATGCGGCATCCTCGCCGCTCTCATGGTGCCGTGCTGTATCCTCAATCTCAGGCGGGTGTGTGACTATCTTTGGTAATGTGACTGGGCAAGATAGCTGCCTGGTGTTATATGTCCTCATCGTCCTGTGAGGGGGTTGTAGGGTTTGGGTGTTCGCTCGTCGCTGGCGTAGTATTATAGTTTATCGTTAGATAGAGGCATCGTTGTGTGGGTTTGGGCGCTACTGCGATGTGATTGGGTGGTGTGAGGGGTGTATCGCATAAGTAGTGGCATGGCTGCTCCGGTTTGCTGCTTAGATTTTGTGCGGTCTATATTTTTGCTTTGGGTGTGGCTATAGAAGTTGGCGGGCGGGCGGGAGCGGCGAGTGCTGTTTTAATCGGTATCAGCGCCGATCTTATAGACAATTACAAATGGATTTTTGTACCAATTTCAGCCTGGGGTTCTTAAAATAAAGGTTATTTTGGCGGTGGTTTTACGTGTATCTTCGGGCGGCTATCAAGAGCATACTAGCGTTAGGCTTGCTTAAGTAAGTCAGAGCCAGTGACAGCAGGGCCGGGCTGACCAGTCGCGCACAGCTAGGCACAGAGGCCGCACGCTATATCACTTTACGGGTGACACGTTGAGCACCACTCTGCTGCACGCTGATCTGCGACACTGGCGCACGTACACTGCTGCACCACCACGAATGCAACGCTTGGAACTTCACGCGCGCCGCGGCCGCGGGGGCCGTGCGAATGTCTGTTAAAAATAGTAGACTACGAGTCGGCTATTCCGCGAATAAACTAGAAGCCCTGACGGATCGGAGAAGCTGAGAGTCTAGGCGCTGAATGGGCCGGTGTTATCACGCTGAGGTATGTGATCGAGCTTACCTATGCGTTCACGGAGGCGGAACTTAGGGGGGAAATATAACACAGGAGTGCATGCGCCGTAGCCCCGCGGGGTGTGTAATATTATTCACCATTGAGTATGACACGCGCAGCCATATAGAACAAGAAATAGATAGTAGACTTACATATTATGACTGAGCCGGGCGTATAGCCCGTATTATGTAGTGGGTGGGTGTGGGGGTGTAGGGTGGTGGGGGGGGGGGGGGGCGTAGTCGATCTCGGTTGCCTGATGGCAATATGTCAGCGATCCGGTCATGGCGTTATAGGTGGATCGGGAGCGTATTGGTGAGTGGGATTACCCATAGTCTAGTATAATTACCAGTCCGTGACTGTTGCAGGTATTATTAATGTGCACAGTGTTGTCAAACGCCGTGAGTATATATAGTCTGGCGCGGTCCAACCACAATAATCCACAGTGCAGTGGTTAGCTGGTCGCTGATCGACGAATGCGGCATGGCATGAATTATTATAATTAATTAAATCGGAGAAGACGATCTCGGGTCCCACCCCCCCAGTTTATCTCTTCGGACCCTCAACTATAGTTGATCTGCTATTGATATTACCGATGTCTATAAATTACCAGTGTGACTGTTGCAGGTATATTAATTGTGCACAGGTGTGTCAACGCCGTAGTATATATAGTACTGGCGTGCGTTCCAACCACATATCGCACAGTGCATGGTTGCTGGCTCGCGTGTGCGACGATTGATCGGGCATGGCATTGAATTATTAATAATTAATAAATAAACGGAGACAGACAGGCATCTCGAGCTCCCCCCACCCCCAACGTTACTCGTCGGGTCACTAACCTACTGCAACGCCAACGACAGCGCTGGCTAACTGTACCTCACCGAATGGAAAACCCCCAGACAACGGAATTCTCCGCAATTTCACGTGTTTTCGCTGCCCCCCCCCCCCCAGCGGGGACCGGACGAATAAGGGCGACAACCCGCCGGAACGTCCCACTAGGGGGCGCTAGGGAAGCACACGCTGTTACGTGAGCTGCACGCCTTGCACAACGACCTGAGGCACTGGTGACGCACACACATACACAGACCAAAACTACATCCATGTACTGTGTCGTCCGTCATACACACCATGCGAACCATAACTCTCTACCCACATAATACGCAGAGACACCATAGCTACACACATACACGGTATCCCTGTACACACGCAGAACATACCTCTATCCACATACACACAGAGAGTCCATGTACTACACTCCAACACAGGCACGCACGCACGCACGCACGCACGCATGCACGATTGCGCACACAATAACTCAACCCACATACACAAAGAGACACCATAGCTACACCCATACACGGTATTCCTGTACAGACGCACACCCTCTATCCACATACACACAGAGACCATAACTACACATGCACATACTACACACACACACACACACACACACACACACACACACACACAGACGAAAAACACAACTTCTCAATCCATCAACCTGCTATTATGCAGCATCGGCAAGATTCGACCACATTCCGACGAAACTGCGTCGCGGGCGATAAATTCCCCCCCTGGAGGAATCCCACCAGCGCAAAGTCCGACTAGGCTAATCTCATTCGAATTTCATCTGGCTACCTGTCGATATCATCAGTGCAGCGACGCCAACAAGAGAGCGTGTGTATTCGCTTCACGCAATCACCCGTATGGTCTGTTTATATTACACCTAGCCACGCAATCACAAAGTAGCAATGCCAAGGTTACAGCACATTCTCTATCATATAGGCATGCATTAACAAAAATTTCAATAAACTACAATGTCAACAATTCACTCTCTGACAGGACAAAAACTGCTGACTCTACTGCCTTAATTGGAAATGGATAATAAGAGCCCCACCCGGGGAGAGGCACCATGCATGACACATGATAAAAATCTCATGTAAAATCATGACAATGTCTGCTGTCTGGCATTCCCATTTCAAAAATCAAAATCGGACAGTTGAGTATTATTAACATCGAAATTAACTTTTAAATCGAATTATAAATATTCTGTTTTCATTCAATCTTACTTTTTCGCTCTTCTCTCGTCTCTGCTCTTCTCTCCTCCTGCTACTCTCTCTCTCTCTCTCTCGCCCCCCCTTCTCTCTTTCTCATTCACTCGCTCTTTCCCCAACCAGTATGTATATATGGCTTAGTGTTCTGGTGCTCAATCTTCCTGAATTCGTACGTGTCGCCGTTGCCGCGGCGACGGACGCTGTCGTTCCGGTGTGCTCGTCGGGGTGTGAAGCTCCTCGCCAGGGGGCGGCACGTGTCTCGGCGTACCGTGCGTCGGCGTCTGCGGGGTCGTACGCCGCACGCTGGTCCTGAAGATGGCATTTGACACGCGCACGCTCAACGCAAACAGCTGCAGCGGAGTGTCAGTACTGCAAGCAGACGACGCGGCGTGCGTGAGCAGACGCTAGCGCCCTCTAGCCTAGCCTAATCTTCACTTAACCTCGCTAACCTAAACCTTATACCCAAAGCTGACCTTATCTCTTTTACGCCTAACCTAACCTAAATCTAAGCCTTTAACCTAAACCTGACATGATTTTCTCTAATCTCTCTAATCTAACCCGGTAAACCTACACCAGGTCTAACCATCTCTAACCTCTCTATCCTGGGCTCCCAAACCTCAAATTAACCTCTCTAATCTAACCGGGTAAAACCTACACAGGTCTAAACCACTCTCTAAGCCTCTCTATCCTGGCCCCCAAACCTCAAATGAAACCTCTCTTAATCTAACCCGGTAAACCTACACCAGGCTAACCATCTCTAACTCTCATTCCTGGCTCCCCAAACTCCAAACATAACCTCTCTAAATCTAACCCGCGTAAAACCTACAACCAGGCTATACCATCTCTAACCTTCGTCTATCCTTGAACTTCCATAAACCCCAAACCTTAAACCTAACCTTATCGACTGCTACACAATATGCATAGT